AGTTTTAGATAAATTAAACCCTGTTTCGCGTAAAAAATAATCCATAGGTATTCGCAATAATCCATGCTATATAACATGCATTTTATATAACTGTGGACTTAAAGGAACCCCCTTTACGCACAAGATACCTACGAAAACAAAATATATTATATTTTATAAATAATCAGTCATTTGATCTTCCCATCTCTCCTCGAAATAGTTCTCTTATAACCTTGTAATATCCTCGCCCCGCTCGGTTCCGGAGAGGTCCTCGGAGGCTGACATGGTGTTAGTGGTGGAAGCTGCCGCCACAACGCCAGCCGCTGAGCTTGTGTTGGACCCGGAGGAAATGCCCGTGGAGGAAGAGGATCTGACTTTGGTGTTTGGCAGCCTATGGTCTTTTTTCCACTTCATCCTGCGGTTCTGAAACCAAATTTTGATTTGCCTTTCCGAGAGGACCAAGGAATGAGCAATCTCGATACGTCTTCGCCGTGTTAAGTACCGATTATAGTGAAATTCCTTCTCCAATTCTAAGACTTGCTGGCGAGTGTAAGCAGTTCTAGACCGCTTGGGTTCCGCTCCATTGTAATTAGGGTTCACTGGAAAGAGGAGAAGCAAAGGGAAAGAAAGAAATAAAGAACAGAATAGAAAAGAAAAGAAGCAGCGAGGGAAGGATAGGGTAAACAAGCGTGTCTTTCATTGAGAAATGGTGGCGACAGAGGAAATGAGGGTGGGCTAAAATATCTAAAAGTTAGCTTTCTATAATAAGGCTAAAATCACATTGGACTCAGCACTGAATTATTAATGCAACATTATAAAGCTTAGTTTTTCTCTGGTCCCAGATCTCCCTCACTCTCTCGCACACTCATAACAAGAGAAGCCACATGGTGATACGACTGCCCAGAGTATACCTCGGCTATAAAATTTATGGTGGGTGTAATTACCAATGCCTAGTCGTAAATCCGCCTCAATTGTGCCATTTCAAAGGCTTCTATCCTATCGTAGCAGAGGCTGGCCAGGGGATGAGTGTAAAAAGGAGTGAGGCAGACGGAGAGAGAGAGTTAGGATGAGGGGCGAGCTTTATAGTGCTTAAGAGAAATACGCTCAAGTTGCCTACCGGTGCTGACGTGAATTTTCTTCATCCAGGGGTACACTACGGGTTGTTTGGCAGAAGCTGAGCTGTTGGGATGCTCCGGGGTGGCTTGATTGCAGGCGGAGGATGCAGCCGGAGGGGTGGCAGGAGACAGGGGTAACGGTGGGGGCTCACATGAGGCAGATTGCCCTTTTCCGAGCAGGTGCCCCGCATGAGGCAGTCCATGTCCTCTTTGCGTATCAGGCTCAGGGATGCTTGCACAGTTATACGGACGCTCCTGGTAGCTTGCCCGCGGAGGGTATAACTCCTGGTGGTGATGCTGGTAGCCACTGTCCCTTGCACGGCTGTAATATTCGGGGCTATGTTCGGGAATGTAGCTATTTTGCGAATATTCCTCGCAAGGAGGAAATTTCGGATCGATGTAGTTAGAGTCCATCAAATACGAGCTCATGATCATTAATTTCTGGAGTGGAAAATAATTTTTCTAGCTTTGTCGTTTTTCTGCTCCATAAAGCCCTCCTACTAGCGAGCAACCCTGTAAAGTTACTTTTACCACGTGATACGATGGCCCAATGGCATGGGGCGATGTAGTCCCCGGATAAGGAACCACAGCTTTCGCAAATATACCTTCAATTTTCCGCCATTGTCCGCGAAGTCTTTGAGTCTCTCTATCCCTCTCTCTCCCTCTTTCTCTCTCTCTCCCCTTTCTCGCTCTCTCACACACTCATACACAATGGCCAAATCTTCTCGGATCATGCCACAGCACCTAGAGATGTTTCTCAGTTAACTTGTGCATGTGCTGTTACCTAAAAGATTTTCGCTAATTACGCTGTTTAAAAATATAACAATTAAATTAAATAAATAAAAAAATCGCATTTAAACTTCAGTAACGGATCAGATATAGGCTACTTAAATACGGCTAATAATTACACAACACTATCCTGTGCTATTTTACCACGCTTTTTATTACAGCAAGTTAGCCTTCTTAACATGAAGGCAAATAAATATATTAAAATTGGCATATTTTCTCTTATCTCTAATCTGTAGGCTATATGCCAGTGCAAAGAAAATTTCCTGGATAATTGGCACATAGTCTAATATGTCGTTATCCCTATTATTTATATAGGCTACAGTTAATAAAAGAACCAAGTGAAACTATGTTAGAAATTCTAGCCTATTTATACAGTTAACTTATGATTCCACGACTTCAGGCAAAATGTGGAGGTTGAGAGGAGATTTGGTGTTTAATTAAGCTATAAAGGCTTTAAATTATCCGTTTACATCGATGGCCGCCTCTACGACCTGTACAATTTTGGCTAAGTATCTTTGTCTTCATAGTAGTCCTGTTCATTCAAACTCCTCTACTTATGATAGTAAGCACACACGACTTTCATGCAAAGTCACGTGCCTCTGATCGAGACGAATACAAACCCAACTTGGCTTTCGTGGCTTTTACGTCGCCCATGTATTCCTGTAGAGACGTATTTGCGATTTTCATGTTTTGGACACAAATTCGGTTCTACAGGGTACATATAGACGACTACTGACAGGCCTTTCTTCTACTGGAAGTTTTGAAACAGAATTCAACGTACAAAATAAGTCAGGTTTGACTATGACCTCTTCATCATCTTGAATAGGGGCTAAAGCATTTTCTGGGGAGAGGTTTCTGTTTGGTATTTACAAAATTTGGTCAGAATTAATATCTAGGGAACTGGTACAATAATATATTTTTAGTAATATTCGTTAGTCGTTACTTTAAAAAAAACGTAAAAATAAAAATTTTAATTGCTTTGTTTTACTTGTTTTAATTTTATTTTTATCCTTTTAATTATTTATTTTTCAATTGCTCAAAAATAATATGGCAGTAAAATTTGACAATCAGTAGTGAGACCAACAAATTACTTTTTTCTTAAGACGGATTTGGAAATGCTTTTATTTATTTAGAATCACATTTATTTATTTATTTATTTATTTATATTGAACACTTAATTTATTAGCCTTTTCACTTGAAACACATGTACAACAAACACATGGTTCCATTCAACAAAAATTGTTTACGTTATGACAGAATTAATGTCATGAGAAATTTATTTTTTTCGTTGAGGTTAAATGTGTTTTGACGAGTTCTGCTTTTTTTCATATTTTCCATATCACATTTCAACACTCCAATAGGTTAAGTAAATGATATTGAGAACATGAAAGAGTGAGTGGGCATGAGAGGGAAAACGATAAATAATTTTACAATCAAATTCTATTAAATCTCGAAAACATAGGAGCACCCACTTGAATATTCCATCTCAAACATGTTGTGCACAAAACGGACACGTGACAGCACTGATGAAAAATAAGTTTCTTTTGTTCCTTGGGGTTTATTGTGCACGCTATTACCATATGACCGCCCGGTAACCTGCAAGACCGTGCCCTGCATTTCTCTCTCCAGTTTAGCTAGGCTATCTAAACAGGAACAGATACGAAACAAAAAAGGAAACAAACAAATCAAAGAAAAGTAGAAAAACAGGAAAGAAATTCTAAACTTTTTAGAATCCATGTAGGCTATATATAAGCAGCAGAGCCCACATTTTCAAATCCAATTTTCAACCCACCAGAGAAAAAGTAGTAATCATTTTTTATTTTTCCCTAAATATATGGAAAACAAACAAACAGACAGGACATAGGCCTAACTCTTTAACTAATGAAATGCTCGGAAACAGCCGTTTTGCCTTATTTCAAGTCTTTTATTTTACTTCGAGACCCTACAGATGTGATAGGGATTTTTTTGTCCACCCCCACCGGCCTGAAAACGCCCCTATCCACCCACTCGGCACTGCTCTAGTGTTGCGGACGCATTTTAATATTAGTTAGACAGCCTGACCCGCATTTCACCCCTCGCGTTCGACTCGTTCCAATAGTTCACTGCCAAGGAGTTATTGATGAGCGAAAAGCGATGAATTCCCTCTGCACATACATGGCCTCAGATCCTGCACCAGCTCAATAACTAGTTATAATGTAGAGACTTCCAAAAAGCTATAACCGCCGGCGAATTTGCCTGATGATTCATTTGTATATAGGTGATTCCACCCAGAAACAGATAGATAGATAGATAGATAGATGATGATGGAAAATAATTCAGTATGAAAATTCTGTATGTAAAGAAGGTGTGATTTTAGATGGAAGGATATGCCAGTTGTCCATAACCAGAATCTATTGTGTGTACGCTTGAATGAATGACATTTTAGGCCTATATGATATTTAATGCATGCCCTTTGCAGTAATTTTGAATGATTCCATTTTTGGGAGCATATTTATTGTCTTAAATATCGAGTCAATTTTAGTTCAAGTGACCTAAGTTGTTCTACAATATAAAAAGTACAAGGCCTTTATTATTATTATTTTTATCTTTTGCACTCTTAAGCATTTAAAGCCTGATTTAGGTTTGTTTTATATGCGTACTCTTGATTGTGCAAGTTTTCTTTGTTAAGAAATCATGAATATGATTTTACAGCATTGATTATTTGAGGTGGGATCAACTTATGAGTTTGTTGTTCGTCTGTTCTCTGTGAACAAAATAGCCTAGGTCTTTTATTTATTTGTTATTTGTTTTTTACGTTGTAATATGTAATAATTTAGTTTTATTTTAATGTAGCCTATATTAAAATATGGCGTTAGATTACACCACATGTAAATAAACAGACGATGTGTATTAACATTTATTGTTATGTCTAGCCTACATTTTTTAAAAATATTAAAGAGAGCTTATTGGCTCACTAGCACGACAAACAGCTTAAACTACAGCTCCTTGCCACTGACACATGGGCATATGCTAGTTGTTCGCCGCTATTGTCAGGGAACACTGCCCTCTGTGTTTATACGCAGCGAAACAAGATGGGACAAGAATATACTAGAACAAGAAAATAACGGTAAGACTTACCAATGCAACAATGAGGTCCTCCTTACCCTCACGTTCACAATTTCCTCATGCGCTAAAAAGAAAGAAAGCAATTTAGAAAATAAAAATAAATAACTTAAATATACTTGTCTTCTCAGGCATGTAAGGATATCTTTTCTAACAATATAAAGCGTTTGACACAGATTTACAATAATCGAAATGCTGTGATGGAAATCATGCACTCTTTCATTATCCTGGTAAGTATTTAAATTAATATTTGAGTAAATATCTAAAGTTTATGTAATCAGTAAAAAAAATAATAATCATGCATGAAATATGTCTACCAAAATTGCAACTCAATACAAAGTTGCATATATTAATCTGACAGCTGCATTTAAAATATTTACTGATAATTATGTTTTCATGTTTTCAGTACAACTTCTCTTTGTCTCTCATTGAGGGTGAACTGTCCAAAGGCATGATCCTTTAAAGTAGGACAAGGCTATGTATTTAGCACAGGTTATTTTCAGAACTATTTCCTTGATTAATGTAGTTATTTTTGCAACAATGGAGGACCTAAAATTAATTCTTACTTGGTCAAGTTATCATGGCAATTCAGAATAGATATTTTTATTTCTTTTTTTAAGAATGTGGCATGTTTTCTTCTTTCTGGTTTACAGCCTCATAGTATTAAAAGAAAATTAACAGTATGTAAATGTGGGCATACCGTGAATTCACATACAGTGTTGGGCCACTGTTTGTCATCGAGATAAATGGCAAAAAAATTATTAATCTGAATGTTATCCTTAATACTAAAGCAAGGAAAAGAATATAAGAGTAATGTAATTAAATAACATATAGCGATATTATATTCATAGAGAGGGAAATATAGCTGTTGTTCAGTATATACTCAATGGTACAATTAACCAAGCTCAACACTGGAAAAAAAGGTACACAAAAAGGTACATCTAAACACTATGGAGCCAAATGTAAACTCAAAACCCTGCATTAGACTATTTAATACAAAAATGTATTTGCTATTACATACCAATGTTTTATTGTAGCAAATGCAGCTCATGTTGCCATGACCAAAGGTTTCCTCGATAAATCAAAATCTTGACACTGGTTTATTAAGAAAACCACCAGTCCAAGTACCAACTTTAATTTTGTTTTTCATTCATTCACCTCATCCATCACTGAATGAAGAAGAGTTTATCCACAAAGAGAACAAAGGTACTGTTTTCTATTTTAGAAATGCCTGTCCAAACAGGAACTGTCTACAAACAGAACGTGAATTGTTCCAAAATTGAAAACATTGCCTTGTTTAGTTCCTCTGTATGCCATGGCATGATTTCCAACTCTTGTCATTTACTCATTCTTTCTGAAGGTATCTATGTATTGAATGAAACTGCTGCCGTTTTCCATGTATGGGAAGTTAGATAGTAATCTGGTAGATGACAAAAGAATATGTTGAACCCAGAGTAACCTGCACTGGGAGAGATGAAAACAGAGGAATATAAAACTATTGCCCCCTATTGGCAGTTAATGTTTTGACACAGTATTCAAAGACTTAATGATAATATAAAAAGTTTATGTTTATCTTTTTCATAACAGCAGACATTTACTGAATGTGTTTGTGATGCTTGGTTGTGCCACAGTATACACCACATGACCCATTTATTCTCTGAATGACTAACCATTTTCCAAACCATCACAAAAGTGTTGTGTAAAATGCTGTATATTTAACATTATATTGATTCATATTCTAGTCAGTGTACAATAGGGAATATTATCCACCTCGATCAACCTTTGAGTGAGTAAAACCTGCACCTACTCTGAGCCAAAAATGGTATCAACAGATATCAGCTATACACTTCTGCTTTGATGTGATAAAAACAGTGGAGTACATTCATATGATGTCATTGTCAGCATTGTTATTCTTAGATAACTGAGTAAACACATAAATATGAACACAACATAATCTGAAAAAGGCATCTATGTAAAAAAAATAATAATAATAAAGCAACAATTAAAAATATTTATATTTTTTAAATGTAATTCTTTAAATGTTTCTAGATTTCTGATTTATGGGAAATATAGACATTAAAAATTAAAGATATGAATGAAAATGTATAGAAATTGACTATTAAAGTGATGTGTAACATTCTTGAATATATTGTAAACATTCATGTGTGTATAATTCACAACAATAATGATTGATTACCGCCAATGGATTGGTAAACATTTATCATTTTATCTATGTTTTTGTTAGAATATCAAATAAGATAGACTTAGACTTACACTTAGGCTAAGCTATTTCTTGCTTATACAAGTAACCTTATCAACTTCAACTTAATACCAACTTTAACTTAATACTAGCTGAAGTTCTATCAAATTCAATATTTTACAAATGACACTTGATATCAGCTAAAACCCCTCCTACTGCTTTTAATAAATTGGAAAAAACACACACAAAACAAAAAGGCATTTCTTTGAGCCTGGAGGAAAGAACTTTGGCATGCCATGGAATTTACAACTCAGCAGTATTTACAACCAGACACAGCCTTACAAGACAGAGCTAGGTCTGGTCTTTACACTCTATTGTTTTCTATGTTTGGATACCACAAAATGCAATCAGTGATTGATATTGAAACTGTGCAAGTAAATTTGTGAAATATTTGCAAATCTGACTCATCATATTCACATTTTTTCAAAACAATGTCTCTCTCTCTCTCGCTCTCTCTTTTGATGTTTAAAACAAGGTAAACTGAACTGAAATGGTAAAAGACATAAAACGAGGGTACATTAATTGTGATCCACAGTTTTATTGATTAAAACTCTTTTGAGTTTGTGATTAAAGCTGCCTTATAACAATTGTTTCATTTCTCAGCTGCATGGCTAAAAAAAAAATATAAAAAAATTTCAGACCCTCATGAAACAATCAGTGTTATATCTGTATTTTCAACTCAAATGTCCTTTCCTTAAACCTTAAACATATTTTTAAAATGTATTTATTTATTGTTTGTTTGTTTTTTTGTATTGTATTGTATTGTATTGTATTGTACAAGTATAACCCTTGCACAGCAAAATGGCCTAAATTAGTTAATAAAGCCAAAACTGAGGCATTGGTTCTTTTTATTTAAATTAAGTTCTCAAAATATATCACAGGCCTCCACAGAATAGAAACACAGCAGTATGAAGATGGCAGTGGAGTTTCCTCTCAGCAAAGATCACAGTGCACAGATTAAAGAGAACATAGTGGATGAACAGAGCAGTCTGACTTCTTCTGTTTCCAAGCACAACATCATAAAGTAAGATATGGCTTAAACTTTTCATACCATTATTATAATGGTCAAGTGGAGCCTCATCTGTCAAATAAAGACCACTGTATATCCGGTGTTGAAAACCGACAAATAACAGTGGTAAAAAATGTCATATGCTTTGTATAAAATATACTTTCTCATGTGCCTTTGAACAATTTAGAGTCATTTCGGGGTTTTATTTTTGGTTAATCATGTGACTCTACTTCACCATCCTCACTGCCCTGTACATGACCCCACCACACAACACCACATCTTCTCTGCCCTGCACATGACCCCACATTATGTCCGATCTAAAGATCTATGTTCTCCGCTCTCATCTGCAAACCAATACAAGATCACTTGGCTTCTCACAGTCCTTCACCTTCACTTTTAACACAACATACGCATCCTAGGCACAAACTAAGCACTTTTCGAGTACAAAATTGGGGTATTTTTATATACGCACATTCTGTGGTACCAGATCGCAAATACTTAGGGGCATATAAATTACGATCCAAGGCAAATGTTTTTACACATGTACAATGCTTTTAAGATGCTTTTTTTTTTTTGAGTACGTAAGAATCATGGTATACAGAATTAGATTTGAAGCTCTTGCCAGAACAATAATTCTATATCAATGCCAAATTAACAGTAATATACAAATGCACAAACGTACACTCTAGACCTTTGAAATTGATCAAAACTGAACAGATGAGGACACATTTGCGCATCACTTGACACAATTTCTCCATGAACTATTGAATTACATCCTTGATTAATTCCCGAGGGTGTTGCGGAGGAAAGTACATATTTAATTAAATAGAGGAAAACAAGATTATTAACTTACTGCAGCCGCCTGGGATCCATTTGGGAGAGTCGAACTTCTACAGACCCTGACGCGAGTAGCCTAACCCACACTAACAGGCTCTAAGCCGTTCTCTCAGAGATAAGACTAGCCAACAGCTGCGATTACGGACAGTTAACATTATATATGATGTAAATATATTGAGGGTTTGTCAGGTCTTGCAGGCCATAAAACCCACTTTAATGACCCCACGTGCTCTTCCTGCACCACTCACTGGTCCTGCTTTGGGCAATTGGCATAAATAACCCTCAAAACTCCAAAATACGTGGCAAGAGAGCTAAAAAAAGAGGGGTTTGTGTAAAAAGCAACATAGTAACCACAGTAACTCGCAATGTGGCCCATACGGTCAAGAAAGCGAGTGTAGAAATTGAAAGAAGCGTGGAAATTTACATTGAATCTCCAATATAGGTGAGTGAGACGATTCTAAAATGAAAGCACTTTTGAAACAGTAGTATAAATTGACTAGCTGCCTGTTTTTATTTTCAGACTAGTGTGTATATAATGTTAACAGTCATACATAATCTTTAGAAATATATAGATTAAAATGTTCCGTAACATTTCAAATAAGTTACATCGAGCGCGGAGAAGGCATGAATTAAAAACTAAAATATGTCAAACAAACAGGAAAGGAGCCTGGGTGTAGAACGAGCCAGTCGAAAATGTGCATTTTGTACACGCAGGCAAAGCTCTTGTGTCCTTTGCTTGACACGGGCCTGGATTACATGATTTCGGCGCATAGGGTGACTGACATCATATGTCTCATTATCTAAATGACAAATTTCAACAATAATGTAGTAGCATGAGCAATTCACTCTTAACGTCTTTAATTATGTGCTTCACACGATGGACGATTAATAACGCTGCTGTATCATACTGCAAATGCATTTTCGAAAAATAATTCGTGTATTTATAATTTAGTTGGACAGT